ATTTTCATTTTTTTCTGAAAAGGTGGTGTCTATTTACTTGTGACCACGCTGTGTATAATTCTGATCTACTAAGGTAGCTTGCTTCCATCAGAAGTTATCTAATCCGGTGCAAAATATTTTATTTAATATTGATACATTATTTTTACTTCTTAAGGAAGTAACACAGAATAATTTCTTTCTCCCCCAGTGATTTTTTAAATAATCTATGTATAGATTTACTTTTTACTTTAGTCACTCACATGAATATTTCCAGATTGTTTTATGTTTGTCAGTCATAGAAGATTTTATGTTGAAAATTGAGAACATTAAGTCTATTAAAACACGTATGAGTTATTTACGATTGTTATGAATAGGCGAGGGAATGTGACTTTTGGTTAAAAAGAGTATAAAAAGTATCATTTGATAAAATAGAGATTATACATAAAGTATTAGTTGCTAAAAAAATGGATACACAAATTTCATAAAAAGAGGATACACAGTGTATCTTTTGTTAAAGCGAGATATACAATATGTCTTTTAATAAAAAGATGATACACAGTTTCTAGCTTGGTGAAAAAAGAGCATATATACGATAGTACTTAATAGGAAGGATCGTGTTGAAACAAAATGGCGGCCTTAAAAATGGCCCGTTTAAAACCACATATAAAATATCTGAATATTAATAATGATTATTTTACAGTATTGGCTGAGCAAAACTAAAGCTTATTTCCTAAATCGCTATATATACGTATTTATGGAGTGGATCAACTTTTCACTATTTCAATAAATTTTCTTCTTAGTAAGTAAATGACTTTTCCAGACAAGGGTATAGAAAAAAATAACGAACTTTATCCTAATTCTTTCACTGAACTCTTCCGTCTGGGGTCCCAATGATTCCTTTTTTGTACCGAAAAGAATAGTAGTGTGTGTGTGTGTGTGTGTGTTTATGTATATCCCTACTTTTGCCCATACTAACATAATTACAGTAATTTGCCAAAGTATATTTTTTTAAGTAGTAAGTAATTCAGTTTTTGTAGTGTTGACTTTTTTTGTTTCAATACTTTGTGTAGCATTAAAAAATTTTATATTACTATAGCTAGCTAGGTTACGTATATATCGATCCTCACTTGTCTTTATAAAATTTTAATTTTTTATTATACTTGTATACATATATATATATATAGAGAGAGAAACAAACAAGCAGGCAGTGAATGTTTTATATTATCCACTTAAAACTGTAAAGTTAGGTTTGCTGCAAACCTTTCAAGCTGAACAAAGTAAAGCAAAAAGTTAAGTATACTTCTTCGGGTGTGTGTGCTTCTTTACAACGTTTTTTATTCATCAGGTTTGTACTTATTCACAACGTTTTTAGTCATCAGGTGCGTGCTTTACTACAACGTTAATATTCATCAGGTGTGTGCTTTTTTACAACGTTTTTATTCATCAGATGTTTGCTTCTTTACAACGTTTCTTATTCCTCAGGTTTGTACTTGATTACAACGTTTTTATTCATCGGGTTGTGCTTCTTTAAAACGTTCTTTTTTTAAAATTTCATCTATAGAGTGAGGTCAATAACTAGATAAAACTTCCAGTATCTTTAACATTTCCCGGTAACAAAACAACCAACTAGTGTAGTGATGAGAGATGGATAGAGGCACTGCTATATCTCACGATGTTGTTTTATTGGCTGTGATAAAAGAGCATATACGTTAGCAGTCGCCGAGCAAAGTTTCCGTTTGATTGCCACTTAAAGATCAAAAGTTGCCTGGCTGCTCGTTCCAACATTGTTGTTGTTGTTGTTATCTTCGCTGTGTATCAAAGAATCGCATAGGATGCCCACAAGATGGCGTATTATTCTTCCGCGTTTTTCTCTATATTTTTACTTTCCTCTCGACAGTCTCTGGATAATATCTCAAATATTTCCACTGCACTACTTCCTAATAAATGGGATATGTTCAGTTGACTGGAAAAATGTCTAACCCATATCGTTTTGAAGGTTAGTTGAGGGGTAAGAATGTTGAAATAATGAGGTATTTCTTACAAAATGAAGAGATACCTATCTTTGTAAAGTTTGCAGAAAAGAATGGCCAGCACACAACCCTGTAACTGCACCGCGTGTAATGTTGATGCCACGTTAATCACTGTTCATAACATGTGCCCTTTTTAAAGTATTAACAAAATTATCCGATAAATATTACGTCAAGGCAAACACAAGAAATAGTTTAACAGCAACACTACATAAAATATCAAGCGCTCCCGCCAAACACATTTCCCCTTACAATCTATAGTGCCTACATTACCCAGCACAGTAAACGACCCACAAGAAAAGATCGCTATTAATGCTATGTTATAATCCTGTATTTCTTTTCAGCCTGGGCACAGGACAGATAGAATATTCGGCGTCTGTCCCGTGAAAGTGGGTTTTCTCCGGGCACTCCGGTTTCCCCCCACATCTAAATTATCTCTGGCTTGGATCCAGAGATCCCAACCCTGAAAAGGGACCGTTCAAATTCCATTCCAATTTCAATCAAAGTGAAAATGTTAAATCAAATTTTCCAGTTAAAAATATAATTTCAAATCAACGCAAAAGATTAACATTTATGCTCAAACTTTAAAATCAAAATATTTAATACATAAACATGCATTTTCAAATAACAATGTGGAAGCTCGTTGCTTGGTGACAGTATTGGTCCTTTTCCCTTCGCCACGACTCAATCGACGCCGGATTTCACGAAGCTGCTTCGGTCTTTTCCGTCCGTCTCCACGGCCTCCCGACTCCAATCACAAACGGCTCAACACGTCACTGAATGCCAAATCAAGACTTACGAAGCAAAATAGTACACGCGCGTGGTTGAAGGGGAGCAAAAGTTCCCGAGCACCCCGGTTGGGAAGAGCGGACAAAAACTTGTTCCCTCTTTCTTCAAACTAAATTACTGCCACGTATATTTTTTCTTCAGTCACAGTATCGAATTATATGAAAACCCCCCTTTGCCGAATCTCAGAATTAAACAGAATAATCGATATTAGTTCGTCCAATCAGAAGAGGCTATTCTTATAATTGATATTTGATTTATAACTTATACTATAAAATGCATACACTGTTTTTATTTTAAGTAATTACTCCTTAACGTATATAAACAGATAAAATTAATTATTTTTTGATATTCGAATAAAGTTACAGAAAGGCTATCTGCGCTATTCGTCTCTAATTTTGAAATGGTAGGCTAGAGGGAAGGCAACTAGTCACCACCGCCAACTTTTCTGGCTAAATAGTGGGATCTGACCGTCACTCTTATTACGCTCCCACGACCCCAGAGTGCGGAGCGTGAATTTTTGTTCTTGCACTAACAGGCACCTGACCACAACGTTGGGCCTAAGTGAAATCAACCTACTATCTTGACTAATGACTAAAATGTACTACGCCTTTGGTTGAAACCGGGTTTCGATTCCCGTAGTGGGCAGAGCACAGATAGCCCATTATGTAACTTTGTGCTTAACTTCAAAACAAACAAACCTATCTCAAGTGTAATTTACTAATTTGATATTTTGTTTTATTTTATAGCTCACTTATGGGGACACACATCCGATGTATACGGTCGAAAATTATCCAAATTTTTTTCAAATTGTCCCCAGTGAAACTGCCTTCAACCCAGCCAGAGTAGCATTACTCCAGCTCTTCAACTGGTCTCGTGTAGGGACGCTCTATCAAAGCAAACCTCGCTATGCCTTAGTAAGTTAAAATCTGCTCTTGTCTTCAGAATTTTATCAGTCAAAACGTTCACTTTTGTGTATTGTTAATGTTTGTTGTTGTTTTTTGTAATTGTCGAATAAGTTTTTAAACACTTTCAAATGTACTTTATTTATTTATTTCCACTGAATATCTAATCGTATTTAGTTCTATATAAAACAAATGCAGCCACGAAACAAACATCTAACACCAGAGCAAAAAACATAAGGTGGGATATTAAGTTATTATGATTAAGATAAAAATAATAACAATTAGAGTAATATACATGACTGAAGGAAGACAGCCAGAACTGTCCCTAAAGTTGGTATTCCAGCTATCAATATGATTTTTGGACATAAGAACCAATATTATACTAAATTTTACCTTTTGCTTTAGTATAGCTCCCATGCTCCACCCTTCCATGCTACTAACTGAGCCTCTTCAGTAATTACGCCTTTTGTAGTTCTATATATACACATATATTTGTTTGTGTATGTGTATATATATATTCAAAACTCTATTTAAAAAAAACCTTCGCATTTTCCGGTCATTATACAAAAGTCATAATAGAGATTGCCTGTGATAATAGCACACAAAAGCGTTGGGGATATCCCATCTATTTTTGAGTCGTTGTGGATGTAAGCACTCAACTCTGTATCCTTATTGAATTTTCCACCACTCCTAACTAGTTTCTCATCTGGTTTTTGGATTTTGTCTGATAGATGGGATACCCCCAACGCTTTTGGGTGCTATTACCACAGTCAAGCTCCGTTATGACTTTTGGATAACGACCGGAAAGTGCGAATGTTTTTTTAAATAGAGTTTTGAATTTATATTAAGTTCATTACTGTTTTACAGTGTTGATTTTGATCGCTTATTGACAATTAATGTAATTGATATAATAGTTTTGAAGCTATACCTCTTATTATGTATATATATATATACATACACGTGTGCGTGGACAACCGTTTCTAGTTTACACTATACATGTGTATATATACATCAAGTACCAAAACAAGCCTTAACAACTATAAGAAAAACGCTACATAAATTAAAAAGAGCACAGGCTATAATGTAGGATATAAGATGTGTCCAGGGCACATTACATGGTGATTTAATTTATGCAGCGTTTCTGTTGTAGTTATAAAAGCTTGTTTATATAAGTGAAATGCTTTTTCATCGCAGGTTCGACTCTTTATTTTTAACGTAGTCCTTCCTAATATTTACTTAACTGTTAAAATAATGTTTTACATATCAATCTAAATATATATATATATAAGAAAACATTGGAATATCAAACATTTTTACTTCTTTTATTACTTTCTTCTACCGGTTTAGTGAATTCGTCACTCTTCAGGAAATAGTTTTGTTGAGAATCTATAGCAAAAAAACATACAAATACCGCTTTTCAACTAAACATAAATAATCTACATTAAATACATATATTTTACTAACGTACAAACATATAATACAGTCCACGTATAAATGAAGTAAATTACAAAATTTATCGAATTTGTTTGCTTATTGTTTGTATTTATACCACGTTCAACTGTATTTTCAATGTGCCACTAATTGTTTGTATTTATACCACGTTCAACTATTTTCTATGTGCCACTAATTGTTTGTATTTATACCACGTTCAACTATTTTCTATGTGCCATTAATTGTTTGTATTTATACCACGTTCAACTGTATTTTCTATGGGCCACTAAGAAACTGATGTTTTAACACACCTGGTTGTGTCGTATTTCCGAAATTATTTTTCTCCGGATTTATTTTTTTAAAACCTATATTAATAACATTTTAATTTTTTGTTTTAATGAATGGCAAATGTATCATATGTTTTGCTACTTAGATCTAACTAGTTGTTTCTGTTTTAGCCGCACAGTAAATTATTGTCGGATCTTGAAGCTGCTGAGATTGAAATAGCTGCTCAGCAAGGATTTGTTGATGAACTCAAGTTAGCTATATCTAAGCTCAAGGTGAGTAAAGCACCATCCTGTGGCCTCAAGAAATACTACTTTATAATATTTAGTGTACTAAAATTAAAATAACCATGAATAAATATACTTTACTTGTACGATGGTGGGATGAAATGAAGAAACTATTAAAACGAACTGTTTGAGTTAAAATTTTGTCTATAATTTCATCCTAATGTTCTTCAAACTAATCGCTCCTTTACTGGTGGCACCCCTTTGTCACGGCGATAAGTCTGTAGGCTCATAACGCTAAACACCAGGTTTCGATACACGTGATGGGCACAGCACAAATAGCCCATTATACAGATTTGTGCTTAGCTCCAAACAAACCTTCTCTGGTAAGTTACTTAACGATTGATATACCTTCATTTTATAGAGATTTTTTCAGCCAATTATTTGGTTGAAAAATAATATTTTATGCAAATGAAACCATTTATTTGTTCAGTGTAACAAAAACGCTTGTCTCTTTGTTCAGTTAAACAAGACTACTTGTCTCTTCATTCTGTTAAACAAGGCCTCTTGTCTCTTTGTTCAGTGAAACAAGACCACTTGTCTCTATGTTCAGTGAAACAAGGCCACTTGTCTCTTTGTTCAATGAAACAAGGCTTCTTGTCTACTTTTTCACGAAACAAGGCCACTTGTCTGTTTGTTCAATGAAACAAAGCCTCTTGTCTCCTTGTTCAATGAAACAAGACCACTTGTCTCTTTGTTCAGTGAAACAAGGCCACCTGTCTTCTTGTTTAATGAAACAAGGCCATTTTTCTGGGTATCAGTTTGAAAAGATAAGTGTATGATCTGTAAGACTGCAGATAGTATCACATATTTTAGTATGATATTTATATGATAGCGCGTGCTTATTCTAACGTTAAATAAATTACGTGTAATTAAGGCCTCAGATAAGATATGATGCCTTAAACACAACAGTGACTTTTCAATGTGTACACACACACACTACGTTTTCATGCTGTGTCCGTAGTAGTTTGGTAAAATTGAAGTAATGGTTTAGTAGTAGCAACACAAACTTACAAGAGCGTCTTCCTTAATTTTAGTAGTAGAAACACGAACTTACAAGAGCGTCTTCCTTGATTTTAGTAGAAACACAAACTTACAAGATGGTTTCCTTAATTTTAGTAGTAGAAACACGAACTTACAAGAGCGTCTTCCTTGATTTTAGTAGAAACACAAACTTACAAGATGGTTTTCTTTAATTTTAGTAGTAGAAACACAAACTTACAAGAGCGTATTCCTTGATTTTAGTAGAAACACAAACTTACAAGAGTATCTTCCTTGATTTGTGAGCTGCATTGCGTGCTTTACATTTCAACACAATCTTCGCTAATTGAAATCAGTAACCTCTCTAGAGTCAACTTTAAAAGGAATTGAAAATTTCAATTGAAGAAACTGTGTTTTGTTTTATCTGTTTTAATTAAGAGAGATTTGTTTTTCTCCTTGGTCAATTTTATACCTGTAGATTTATTATTTTGGTATAGTATAATTTGAATATTCGTTCGTATTTTCAGACCTCGTTCGTTATGAATGAGTAAGTCACAAACAGTACAGAGATACCTCACATTGTGTAAAATATTACCTCGTTCGTTATGTATGAGTAACTCACAAACAGCACAGAGATTCTTCACGTTGGATACAATATTATCTTGTTCGTTATGTATGAGTAAGTCACAAATAGCACAGAGATACCTCACATTGGATACAATATTATCTTGTTCATTGTTGATGGGTAAGTCACAAATAACACAGAGATACCTCACATTGGATACAATATTATCTTGTTCATTGTTGATGGGTAAGTCACAAATAACACAGAGATACCTCACATCGGATACAATATTATCTTGTTCGTTATGGATGGGCAAGTCACAAACAGCACAGATGATAATCTTAAACAAAAATGACGAACTTAATACAAATGTTGTATTAACAGATGAAATTATAAGAAATCAGTTCTTTCATGTAAATGCATTTTATAAATATATGAACATTATAAATTCCTATTATAGACTAAATCAGAAAGTACTAAAAAATCTTATGTATAATACTAGAACACTAGAAAATAAATAATGTGAAATTCCAAATTACAACAATAACTATATGTATAAAATACCATATGTAATGAATCAACTCCCTAGGAACTTATGGAATTAAAAACGTTAAAAGACTGGTTATTAAGTGCTGTTTATAGACGAATTGAGTAATATTCATTGAATGGTAACTAACTCATATAGGGTTAATATTATCATTAATTTAGCTACAGGATACTATGTTCGTAAATGATAATGGTGTAATAAAGTTACAGGATATTATGTTTTTGTGATATATCCAATAAGTTGTTAGTTTCAGATCTTAAATTATCATAGTTATTAAGGAGTGTTCCACAAACAAGCTGATTAAGACTTGTTAGAACTTCTTTATTTCTATATGTTTTATTTTTTTATTAATATTTATACATTGCATGCGTCAAAAAGAAGAATAAAACATGTATATGTACCGTAAAAGAATTAACTGTAACTTGATTATTATTAACGCAGGAGTTACTGTTGAAAAATATGTTATTTTAATAGTACATATTTCGTTGGCCAGGTGGTTAGGGCGCTTGACTCGCAATCTGAGGGGCGCGGGTTCGAATCCCCGTCCCACCAAACATGTTCGTCCTTTCAGCCGTGGGGACGTTATAATGTGACGGTCAATCCCATTATTCGTTGGTAAAAGAGTAGCCCAAGAGTTGGCGGTGGGTGTTGATGACTAGCTGCCTTCCCTCTAGTCTTACATTACTAAATTAAGGACGACTAGCGCAGATAGCCCTCGTGTAGCTTGGCGCGAAATTCAATAAACAATCATATTTCGTCACTTGTTTATTCGAAACTCACTTGACTTAAAACTCTGTGAGTTAAGTTTAACAATTTTTTTTTTCTCGCTTTTCACGTTCTTACTCATCTCTTTCTAATCATTTTGAAATTTTTCAAGATGATATTTTTTTGTCAAAGAAAAGAATCGATTAGAATTTGAATTATTTTTAGTGTGTGGGTTTGTTTTTCGAAATATCAAATTGTTCTTATTTTTGTAGTTAAACAATTATACCCAGAAAAAGGAGCTATTTTTTTCATTTCTTAACTTGGAGAAATGCCTGATAAAAAAGGTGTTTTGTTAATTTTTAACACAAATAGTCCTAGTTCCATTCTTATGTCACAAGGGAGCATACAGCGATCTTTTGACGTAAACTTTTAGATTTGTTTCTATTTATAGTGTATTTCTTCATCACTCGCTCAACATGGCAGACATTGAAAGTATAAAGAACATTCGTCTTCATGTTTCTCAGATAACATGTTTTATACTTCATTTCAGGAGAAAGATGTCCGCATTATTCTTGGTAACTTCGATGAACACTGGGCGAGAAACGTCTTTTGTGAAGTAAGTTGTATGAGCATTAATAACATTTCCAAATAACAGTTGGATTTAAAAACAAATTCTATGGTTTTTATTGTTATAAACACTTTTCGTGGAATAAGTCTGTTTTCTGATATTCAGCTGCTAACATTGTAAGAATACTAGGGTTTTTATGTCACACATAAGTTTATTAAGAGTTTGATTTTTTAAGTATATTGGAGCTAGATAATCAGAAACGGAACAAACAATGCTTGTTTTATGTTTATATATTTTTTATTTTTAACAAAGCCACATTGGGCCATCTGCCATGTTCACCGCGGAAAATCGAACCCTAGATTTTAGCGTTGTAAGTACATAAACTTACGGTTGTCCCACCAGGGGACCAAAAAATTGGGGTCCCAATGGAAAACGTAGGTGTGGAGTAAGCGTTTCGGCCAAATGATAAAGGTTGTTTGACTGAAACATTGAGCACATACTCTCTTTTTTTTTTTACCTTGCAGTGATTTTAAAAGTTTATTTGTATTATTCAATTATGTACCATATAATTTGGACAGTTAATAAAAATAATTAACTTCCATATAAATATAATTAATGTAATCCACCCTCCTTGAGAAACGCAGTTTCACCTGGACTGCTAAATAAATATTAAGCCCGATAAACCATTACTTATAATGGTTGCTTCATAAAAAAAAGCATCCATCTTGTTTAGAACAGGATATTTACTGAAACACCGGAACAATGGTAAAGAACGAATGTTTATAAAGAAATACTCTGGCGTGTGCAGCTGAATGTAAACCAAGGTACGAGATGAGAATGTAAAAGAAAACGAAAAATTCATATTCCAATTTTAGGCTTAGAGAATGAGTCGAGCTAAATTGTGATAACAATGCTGAAACTCTACACATCTAACCTGCTCTTGCTTATAACATAACCAATATTTATTATGTGTGTGTGTTCTCATAGGACCGGTAAACTACAGGAGTTTGGGGGTGTATAGAGGCATACAATTAACAGTAACTGTTCAAGACTTTCATTAAACAATGTTTTAAACATCTCGTTCAATAGATATTATAATATGTGTGATATCCATTAGGAAAATTTAAAGTAAATACATAAAATGTATAAAAATCCACAAAGTCATACAATATATGGCGTTAAAGACTCGCGATGATCAAATCATAGATAACCTATTGTGTAGCTTTGTGCTTAACAAAGTTTTAATTATATAGTTACATACAACAATTATACTATGTTACATATACAGTGTACTGTGCTTAATATATGGCTATGCTATTAGTAAAAAAAAAGCCTAAATGTTTAATGATAAAGTTTAGGTTTAGGTTTACGCTAGCAAAAACAAAAATTGATAATATTTTCCATTAAGACTAAACCTCATCAACATTATATATTATTGTGTTAACGATTCTGTTGTGGTACACTCGTCCAATAATTTTGTGATCTGACACCGAATTGCATCAGGATCACGATATAAGGTTTTAGGCCCGTGGTGTACTCTCGCTTCGAATATAAAAGCATACATTAGGAGGCACTAATTCAATGTCTGATTTTTTAGGCCTACAAATTAGGGATGTACGGAAGGAAGTACCAATGGATCATTGTAGGAATGTATGATTATGATTGGTGGATGAAACACTTAGACAATCTGACCTGTAACCAGTCGCAGCTCAGGGAAGCCATGGAAGGTTACTTAGCTGTAGATATCTTATCTCTTAGTTCTACGGAGGACATCACCGTGTCAGGTCTGGTAAGTAACTAATATACTTGGGAAACATGAAAGATAAAGGAAATGTTAATAACGTGGTTTAACCAATATACTTGGGAAACATGAAAGATAAAGGAAATAGTAAGTAATGTGTTTAATAATATACGAAGAAACATGAAAGATAAAAGAAATGGTAAGTAATGTGTTTTAACCAATGTACTTGGGAATCGGGAAAGATAAAGGAAATAGTAAGTAATGTGTTTTAATAATATACGTAAGAAACATGAAAGATAAAAGAAATGGTAAGTAATGTGTTTTAACCAATGTACTTGGGAATCGGGAAAAATAAAGGAAATGATAAGTAATGTGGTTTAACCAATATACTTGGGAAACATGAAAAACAAAGGAAATAGTAAGTAATGTGTTTTAATAATATACGAAGGAAACATGAAAGATAAAGGAAATGGTAAGTAATGTGTTTTAACCAATATACTTGGGAATCAGGAAAGATAAAGGAAATGGTAAGTAATGTGTTTTAACCAATATACTTGGGAATCAAGAAAGATAAAGGAAATGGTAAGTAACGTGGTTTAACCAATATATGTAGGAAGCATGAAAGATAAAGGAAATGATAAGTAATGTGTTTTAACTAATATACGTAGGAAACATAAAAGATAAAGGAAATGGCTAGTAACGTGGTTTAACTAATAAACTTGAGAAACATGAAAGATAAAAGAAATTGTAAGTAAAGTGGTTTAATCAATATACGTAGGAAACATGAAAGATAAAGGAAATGGTAAGTATCGTGGTTTAACCAATATAATTGGGAAACATGAAATATCAAGTGAAAAAACTGAAAATCAAGAACCCGAGTTTATAATAATTTAGATGTTCCTTCCTCTTAATCAGACACGAAATACGCGTTCTTTCGTTCAGTAATGGACGTCTTTATTTTGAGGTTAGTTACAGTATACTGGTATGCAGACAAGTATAATAATACAATAAATATTTTTATTCGTCTGTTTTCCTATCTATATTTTATAATATGTTAATATAAGATTAAAAATTGTTATTTAATTTTTCTGACATTGTCAAATTTAAACTTAGGCAATGTACATTTCCTGAGATTTCTTCCTCTTTCTCAATTTTTTGGTAGAGCTGAAGAATTGTAACTTGTTAAAACTTAATGTTTACTAACATCTATATGTTTCGTCTGCCATTAACTTCTCCAAACTTTCCAGAGCTAAGCACTGTCATCAACTTCTCGTACATTTACAGAGATAATTCAATTTTCAACTTTTTCAACCCTTTCCAGAGCCGAGTTGCAGTACTGGAAACAATTATGAAAATGGTCAAGAAAAGGATATAAAAAGCTAATATTACGAGAATGCCACCCTTTTATGCACTAAAGTACAGTCTGTGTAAAGCTTATGAAAGTACAGACAGTCATACAATTCCCAGTAGTAGTGTGGATGTCAGTCATGACTCTCAGAAAGGTGTGAAGTAATCAAAGTTTTGGCTGAACAATTACAAAAAACTCAATTTTTCAGTAAGAGCTGTGTACGGGGTACGTGAAGCTGGCAAAGTTAATAATAGAAGGGGTCGAAGTAATCCAAAATTCAAACATAATATTAAGTACTTCAAGGTAGGTTGTATACGAGATGAAAGATTGTCGAGTACAGATTTTGCCAACGACCTTGCTGTAAATGCAGGTGTAAACGCTACCTCGAGAACAGTAAGATAGATATTATTATAAGGTGGCTTCGTTTAACGTGTAGTTACTTGAAAACTACTGCTGAGAAAATCTAACCAAACCAAAAGGCTGAAATGGAGATAGGAAAACAAACAGAGGAATGAGTAAGTAAAACTGTAAACGTATGCTCTTTACAGACGAATCGAAAGTTGAATGGTTCGGCCACAATTAATGGATAACTTATTCAACTGCAGAGAAGAAAATATCATAGTCAATGTGCCACACCTACAGTGAAACATGTAAAAGTTGGAGGCTGCATCTCAGCCAGTAGTGTCGGTAATCTGCAAAAAAAAAAAATGATGGCACCCTGACTGCTGAAACGTACATCCATTCTCCCATGGACATGATTCATTGAGCAGGAATTTTCGTATTCCAGCAAGAATATGACCTCAAACATCGTGTAACTTTGATGAAATACGTGTGGTCTACACAAAGTTCAGACATGGACATTTTTTTAGGCTGCATGGACTTATGTAAAAGCTTAGAAAGTCAAAAGAATTGTAGGGAGTAATACAGAACATTTGGAACAATATCCCGAGATCATGTATTGATAAACTGTATGGCAGCATGACAACAAGATATAACTCCCTGAGTAAAGTAAAAGGACCACATACAAAATACTGGTGCATTCTATAGCTAGTCCATATTACTTTTTTATTTATTCTGATAATGTTTTTACCATAAATAAGCTCACCATTTAGTTACTATTTGCTCGTTGTCAGTGACTGTAGCATACGTAGCTTGTGGTTTCAATGATCATTTCCAATACTACATATATATCAACAATTTCTTCTCCAAAAACCTATTTAGGGCTAAGCTTTTTTATTAACTTATCGATAGTTTGCAAAAAGCCAAGATTAACCATAATCATCACTTGTATACACTCACGTCGCACTAGGCCTAACTGTTTTATTGATTTTTCTATACGGTGTTTCTTTCTCGGCGTAGATAGGAACTCTCCTTAATTTGCTTTAGCCACGCTAAATTGTATATATTTTTAAGTATTTAAAATCCCTAGAGAATTCTAAGTACACTTAGTTTTGCCTTAACGTGTCAGACCTTAAATTATATGAAATCTCTATCTTGTCAGACTTCAGCGGAATATTATGCTCAGTACAAACAACATTACAGCGGAAGCAACAATCGTTTCCATGGTTATGCGTATGATGGGATCTGGGTGATAGCTCTGGCAATTCAGATGGTGAAACGGAAGCTTCTTGCTAGCGGAAGTTCGAGAACGCTGGAGATGTTCGAGTATAGTGACCCTTTCTGGGGAACCCTTTTTCGAGAGGCCTTCAACAAAACTTCATTTATTGGAGTGACGGTAGGTGTCATCACCCTTTCTTAGACGTTTTTTATAAATTTTAATGTTGAAATGTTCTGATCAAATCATACCGTACTCACAATAGCTAACACTATATTAACGTTTCTTAAAATGGTAACATGCAGCATTATAACCTATCCTCACTGAAAAAAATATAGTATTCTCATGTTGCGCTCTTTAAAGTAACAGGATACTTCTCATTGTTATCGTCACTTTGACATAATGACCGCTAACCGTAGATTGTAAAGCAATATGATACTTCTCATTGTTATCGCCACTTTGAGATAATAACCGCTAATCGTGCATTGTAAAACAATATGGTACTTCTCATTATTATCGTCAATTTGATATAATGACCGCTAATCGTGCATTGTAAACCAATATGATACTTCTCATTGTTATCATCACTTTGTGTAGTATAGAGTAACATGATCTTTCGCATGGTTACAGTTTCAAGTTTCAAACTGTATTGTTTCATGCTTAGTTTCGATTTGATGAAGATATATCTTATGTAAATGTTGATAGATCTTCCGGTTTATCTACAGGGGTCAGTTAGCTTCTTCAGAAATGAACGGCGGGGTCTTGTTCTACTCAAACAATATCAAAGTAAGTTTTTATTTTATCTTATCGATTTTTATCGGAGTTTTCTACCTGTAAATGTATTTTTTACGTTTTATCTATTTTTCTTTAAAAGTTAGAAGTTCTAGAGTTGGACGAATTTGCTTATTTAATTTTTATAATGACAATTTAAATTAGTTATTATTTTGCAGTAATATTTTATTAACAGTGTATTTCAATTTATCCATCAGATGGGGCTGAGGTGAAAATCGGTGAATACGATTCTGTTTCAAACACGCTGAAGCTTTACAAGGATACGAAAATAATTTGGAATGGTAAGACATGTGCTGTTTAATTTAGATGGAATATAAAATTCGGTTTTATAGATACTTTATGCAATACGAATCTCCCAAATACCTCGAGACATAATTCAGAGGCGACTTTTAAACTCGTTTTACATTTCACACATTAGAGGTAATATATTGTTACATATCTGCTTGTTTGTTTGTCTCCGGTAGAAACTCTTTCCGAGAATCTTCAGTGATACAAGTCCTTTCTTTATTAAACCAATTTATCCTTCCTCGATACAAACTTTTAGTACGAGAAAGTTCCACAATCAGTACGTTTCTCGTCACTTTAAACTTAACAACTTTTATAATACAAGCTATAAATCATAGCGATTCACAATCTCGATAATTTCGCTCTCGACGAGTGCAAGACACACACTAACAGAATCATAAATTTCACGGAACTCAAAAAATAACTACTGCTCTCTCTTCATCTATATATCCTGCCCAGCTAGCTTTCCTCTGCCTGGCTTATATACTAACGAAGAGGGCATCTCCAGAATACTCGGACTTCCCCAATCATTCGAGAAACTCATCACACGCGCCACCAGCGTCACGTGACTTCCGCTGTCATAACAATATAATTTATAATTGCCTTATGATTATTATTTTACATTTTTTAACCTAGACTGAGTCTAATTAATTCTGAAATAAACTTGCCTTGATCCACTATCTTGAAATAGTTTTTTTATGTTACATGTTGTCATAAGTAATCCTCACAATAATCTCTCACTTAAATAGTGAAACAAAATGATTTCAAGTAACTTCAAAACGAGTCTAAATTTTGGCAGCCATATTTATTTGCAAATTTGGAGTTTAAGCGTCAAAATATAGCTTGGTAGCAATCATTTTTGAAATCAGCTGGTTCAAATTAGCCTAGAGAAAGTTGTTGAACATTTAATAAGGGATACTATAAAGGATGAATTCTGAGATTATTGTCTAGTATGGGCCTCAGAGATTACAATCTAGTGTGGTCCTCAGAGATTACTATCTAGTGTGGTCCTCAGAAATTACTATCTAGTGTGGTCTCTGAGGTTACTATCTAGTGTGATCCTCAGATATTGTGATGTAGTGTGGTCTCCGAGATTATCATCTTGTGTAGTCTCTGAGATTATTATACAGTGTTGTTTTTCAGAGATTAACACATAGTGTGGTCTCTGAGATTACCATCTTGTGTGATCTTTGGGATGACCGTCTAATGTGGTCTCTGAGATTATATCTAGTGTTGTTCTCTGCGATTACCATCTAGTGTGGTCTCTGCGATTACTATCCAGCGTGATTTCTGAGATTACCATCTAGTGTGGTCCTTTGAGACACTGTTGGCATTTGAGTGAATATCATATTTTTCTATTTTGATGGAGTACATTTAGTTACAACTATTGAAAGTTATCATAACATATCGTTTTGGGACAACAAGGGACCTATTGGTGCATCTCGACTGTTCCATCCTCTAAACTAAATTAAAATAATTATAGAAAATACTT